AAAACCTCTTACCAGAGCATGGAGATGTCCAGCTAGCGCTTATATAGAACCATCACCCTTACATTCCAACATGTTTGGTACAGGGCAGTGCTCTACCTCTGCATGCTATCACAAGAGAAACATAAACACCAAGCCACCCACAAACCCTTTGATCTACAATAGAGTTCCTCCTGCAGTATAGGCTAGGGCAATAGTGGCACAATGCTTGTGGGCACAGCCAACCAACAACTGATTTGACTGAAGGCCCACTTTATAAGATGGAAGCGATATCTAACACTGCATGGGTGACCAAGAACGTGAGACTAGACAGCCTAGGTAAAAGCAAATATTTTTGGCCTAAAAATGAAAAGAAAATGCAGAGATAACATGACTTCCAATTTTGTGGATCCCTGCAAGCTTTACTTCTGTCAGAGAAGCAAACCATGGGTGGCTAGGCGTAAAGCTGGTTCAGCACAACTTAATCAGCCCATCTGGTTCAAACTTCTGGAGTCTTAGCCCCAAGCGGTTTATTTTTTTGCATATTTTAACACAGTACAACTTTTCAAGTTTCATCATGACAATTATCACAATAAAACTTGGGGTGTGACTACATCCAAACTCCCTTGAAAAGCAAAAAGCATGTATCCTTTTCAAAGTATGTATTACCTCGTCCACAAGAATGAGTTCAAAGTGACTGAGAAACAGTGCTCAGGATAAGGGCCTAGGGTAGAAGGGTTTGTAATAAGCTTGAGGATGGGTACTATTGACTGAGAAGAATCTGCTCAGGAAAAGAGGGATTCAGTGAAGGCTGGCTCTATAGTGTGGCAAAGATCACCAAAGAAAAACTTCCATTCCCAGGGTTCTGGGTGGAAAACAGCTATGCACATTCCTTCTCCTGAAGAGGAAAGCATCTGTGTTTAACAATTCTGGTTTTCCTATTGCTATCTGTAGGTATGTGGACCTCATGCCTCCTTACCTAATAATATTTGGCTAGACTCATAAATCGGTGACCTGTACATCTATCATCAGAGATAGTTCCTCCTGCAGAAGGTGGAAACAAATATGGAGACCCGCAAGCAGATATTACACAGATAGTGAGAGACCTTAGAACACACAGCCCTAAATGGGATGTCTCCATCAAATCCCTCTCCTCAGAGCTCAGGAACCCCACAGAAGAGGAAGTGGAAAGACCTAGGAGCCAGAGGGAGGGAGGACACCAAGAACACAAACCCCTCTAAACCAACGAGAGAAAAGCTCATACAAACCCCAGGAGACTGAAGCACAGGGCTTGCATGGCTCTGAATCAGATCCTCTGAGCTTATAATTTTGCTTTCAGTTTGGTGTTTTTGGGGGATTTCTGAGCATGTGAACAACTAAGTTGAATTATTTCATAATTAAGAATCAGATCATGCTGTCTCTTTAAAATTGGTTCATTGTTGCAATAAATGACAAAAAGCATACATTGGGGTGCCCTAAAACAGGTCTGATCATTAATCAGTATCTATTTTTTTCTCTCAATATCAATTCTACTAAGATTTGAAAGGGTCTGAAAATGCTAAAGATATTTTTTCTTCCATACAGGATTTGTTTTTTTCCTAAGGTCTTGGGGTTTAAAGACCTTACAGAAGCTATGTGGCCAAAATATAAAATCAAATTTATCTTACATGGTCAGTACTCTGCTATAGCTGACCCATTGTATCTGTAGGTTTTATTGTTTTATTTCTCAGTGCTAATGTCATAAGACTCAGAAAACTCAAGTATTGAAAGTTGAGCCTGCATAATTATTTACTTAGTGATTTTGTCTAGCTGTGGCATTGGCTACTTTAGAGAAAGAGAAAGGCTATGTGTTTTCACCCTGTGTTTCCAGAATTCCTTACCAGTACTGACCAGTCAGAATCCTAACTTCTACAAGCCCGTGGAACTCATCAGGTCATTAATAAGCTGTTAATGAATTTTGCGATAAATCAAAGTGAATTATTTATTCTCAAGTGGAAAGTAATCTCACATTCATTTTTATTTTTAACAATGGATGAGTCTGTCACTCTAACCCTATGACACCTGAATCAATAGCCATGGCTAAAAGTCATCAAAATAAATGTATAGGGAAATTTGTATAATGCAGAGGGAAGAAATTTTTTTCCATATTGACAAAATACTGTTACCAGATCTGCTTCAATATCTGTGAACCTCCCTAAACAGTGGTATGTCTCTTTTCTCTGAACTGAGGAATAAATCATTCATCTAATATTATTGCATTGTTGTCAAAATTGCCTGCATTGTAGATATAACATACAAACTAGATGACAACATTACTGGCAGATGCTAGTTGTGCAGAACCATAGCTTTCATTACAGCAATTTTATGCATGCATATAGTATATTTGAATCATACTCATTCCCTCTACTGCCCCTACTGTCACCCTCCAGCTGGTTCCCTTTCTCATCCCCAATAATCCACCCTCTACTTAACTGTTTTTATTTCTTTAATTTAGCTTCTGCATATGGAATTCACTTCTGTATTTTAGATTGCCCAGATTATTTTCATAATCTTCAATATACTTATATATAAGCATATTAAAATGGATAAGAGATAAATTAATGGATGCAAATGCAAATTGTTATTATAGAATTTTAATAACAATCAAAAATCAGAATCACCATAATGAACAACAATGAATAACTTATCAATCACCTATGTGGTGGGCTGTAGCATAAAGCGTGAGCTTTAAATGACCATTTTAAACTAAAAAAAAAAAAAAAAAGCAGAGTTTATTTTTAATTAAAAAATACAAACCAATGTATACTGAAAATAAGATTGAATATTGGAATAAAGAGTATATTATCTGTTATTATTTGTATGTATAATTTAAAAGTGGAATTTGTAAATCAACATTTTTAACACGTCTTCCTGGCTTGTGAGACTCCATGTCTTTTTCCTTTTTTAAAAAGTCTATCTTCCAATTTTCTCAATGAATATGTTTTTCCTTCATAGAAGAAAGCAAAAGGATTTTTTTTTCTTTTTATAGAAAACCAGCTACAGAGGGCCTCTGAAAGCCAGAAGAAGAAAACAGGAAACAACCTAGGAACCTGCCACAGAGGGCTTCTGAAAGCTTCTGCCCTGCAGACTATCAAAGCAGATTCTGAGCCTGATGGCCAACTGTCGGGCAGAGTGAATGGAATTTTATGTAAGAAGTGGGAAATAGCAAGAGCTGGAGAGGATAAGAACTCCACAAGGAGAGCAACAGAACAAGAAAATTTGAACACAGGAACTTCCCAGAGACTCATACTCCAACCAAGGACTATTCATGGAGATAACCTAGAACCTCTGCACAGACGTAGCCCATGGCAGTTCAGTGTCCAAGTGGGTTACATAGTAATAGGAAGAGGGACTGCCTCTGACATAATCTGATTGACCTGCTCTTTGATCACCTCCTCCTGAGGGGGGAGCAGCCTTACCAGGCCACAGAAGATGACAATGCAGCCACTTCTGATGAGAACTGATAGACTAAGATCAGAAAGAAGGAGAGGAGGACCTCCCCTATCAGTGGACTTGGGGAGGGGCATGCATGCAGAAAGGGGAGGGAAGGTGGGATAGGGAGGGAAGGAGGGAGAGACTTATGGGGGGATACAAAATGAATAAAGTGTAATTAATAAAAGTTAAATAAAAAAATTTTAAAAAAAGAAAACCAGGAAGGAGTATAAAACTCAGGCAAGAGAAGGAGCTCCACCATGCTATCACTGTCCCTATTAGCAATGCAAAGGCTCAGGTTGCCTGAGAGACCAGGCTATACCCACTGCAGAGGTCATCTTGGCTCTCACACACCACTGCATATCACTGCTCCAGCCATTCCTACCTTAGGTGTTCCATTGTGTGTTTTTCATTCTGTCTGACAAGCCTTAACAATTGGGGGACATGTATGTTTGGTTATGCTCTATCCATCTGTAGTACATGCTCACATGGTACCCTGGCCGCTATTTCCGGTGATCAGTTCTCACCCTTCTCAAGTCCTTTTCAATATCCCGGCTGAGCTCTGAACTTGACCTGATGAGAATCATGATGGACCTACTAGAGCCTGCTCAGCCCAGCACACAACGCCTCAGTGGCTTCTTCTACGCAGCCATTGTCCTCTCAGGAGGCCCAAACCAACAGTTGAGCTTTAAAGAAGTCACAGCCGAAAAGGAACTCATTAATTCCATCTCCTTCTATTCAGGTGGGTCCACTGAAGCATGGAGCATGGAAAGTTGATGTCTTTGAACTTATGGCTTTTACTGTTGCTGCTCCATTCCTAAAGAATCTAGGGGGATGGTAGGATGATACAGTGATATGTTTAGAAAGACTATAGTGCCCTAAGTTGTCTCAAGAGAAGGGAAAACAGGATATCTTACCAAAAATGCCAGTCATCATAGAGAGTGCTATCTCCGGAGACACTATAATGTCTTCAGTAATAGAGCTTGGATTTCCTGGAGATGGTGACATGATGGATTTTTTTCTACTCAGCATCCCTAAATACCCCAAAAGAGTTTAATATTCAGCGAGAAAATTCTCAGCAGAGCCTAAGATCCCATTTCTATGTCATAAGATAGTATACTTTCTTCTTCCTATTGCTTCAGAAATGCCTAGAAACCTATAGTTGCTCCATTTTGGTTTCCAAGAAAGAAATGTGAATGGAACTTAGTATAAAGAGTTTCCTTCTCAAGAGATGCAAAACGTCCCCAAAACTAAAATAGTGCAATTGTACACAGAATAGAAACTTATGATCCCTATCTATTTTCTGAGTATTCATAGGTTTGTCACTGAGCTCAATAATTTTAATCTTTTAATCTCTCAGATGATCAGACAGAGTTTAATTTTCCATAGATATTTATTGTTGAAGTGGGGTAGAATAGGATTTTAAAATAGAGCGTGCAGTGGGCTGTTCTTTCAAAAGTTTTGTTTAACATTCTGAATATGTCCCCTTGGGTAATTGTATCAAAAAGTGGCATCCTGAGGCCATGATTCCACGGTTACACCAGAAGAAAAAAATGCTCAAATATTTTAAGGTACTATGGTCACTTTTGTTCTTCAGTATGCTCCATTTGGTGCTCATGTCTGGTGAGTAATTTTGCTTTTTCTTTAGAAAAGCAAAATTTTGTGGATGTTAACATTGCAATGTAAAGAAAATGCTTTAAATTGGAAACGATTTTAGTGAAAAAGGTATATGAATATAGCTACCCACAACTACCTACATGCTTGCTCACACATATATACTGAGAGATACAGTAGAGTCTGGTTCAGAGAGATAGAGTTTTGTCTTTTCTATCCATTATATGCAGGTTATGGGACCTAACACACAGAAGAAATCATTCAGGGAGGTAGCTCATGAAAGTGACCAGCAGTACGTCTTCATCCAGAACACACATCCAAAATACTTGAAAATGCCTCCCCGTCCCCCTCCAGGTGCTCGGGGTCTCTGTGACTTCTCTAGAGAAGAGACTACACTGCGAACCCCAAGGAGCACAGGGATTCTACCGAAAATTCCTGAATATAAAATTAAAGTTGTTGCTTTTCCTCCCTGTAAAGTGTGGGGTCCAACCCAAAAGATCCTAATGTGCTGTCATTTCCCCTATCTTTCCTCACCAGTAGCTCGGAATCCTCTCCAGCTTGGCTAGGATTAAATCAACAAAAGCAGTTGAAACTGCGGGCCTGCAGCCTCCCTGGGGATGAGGATTCGCTCTGCTGATTACCTCCAGGAGCAGGAGTGTCGGTCCACATTTTTAAAAGGAATGAACAAATGTATAAATGACGTCATGTTTTCAATTACCTCGAGGTTACTTAGTAGGGAATTTGAGTTATTTTATTCTGTGAAAAGATTAGGTTACGGTTTACCAGGAATTGAATTTTGTAACATATTTATGCATTCTCTAGGACCAGGTGCTCGGGTTTGGTGGCCACCACATGGAATTATTAAGGTATAAATTGCCTACCAGATTTTCCAGGACTCAATTTGAATCCAATTTTCAAAGGATTTTTTTAAAAAATTGTTTGAGTGTTTTGCCTGCTTCTATGTAAGTGTACTATGTAGGTGCCAAGTGCTCACAGGGGATAAAAAAGAAAAGGGAACCGACCCTGGCCCTTTTAGAACTAGAGTTACCAATTGTTACAAGCTTTCATGAGGCTTCTGGAAATGAAACCCTTGTCCTATGCAAGAGCAACTAGTGCTTTTAACCACTCAGTTATCTCTCCAGGCTCTGAATCTAATATTTCAACCTTTTATTTATCTATTCTTTGAGAATTCCATATAGGCATATGCGTCCTATCTTGTCTACTCCCTCTCTTAGACCCCTCTGTGTTTCCCTAACAATTTCCTGTCTTCTTTCATTTTCCTTTTCAGAACTCACTCAAACTGCTGTTGGCTAAAGGTACATAAAGGTACATGGGTGCCGGGATCATAGGGCATCTATGCTCCAGTAAATCTGATTCTTTAAGACATGTTACTTCAAAATTTACTACAGCAATACAATTTATGCAATTCTTCAAGGTCTATTAACATGAGGATTACAGCTCCCCCCCCCCCCCACTGGTGGCTAAAGTCTACAATTGAGTGATCTAACCTAGGAATCAAGCCAAATGTACACACACACACACACATACAGAGAGAGAGAGAAAGAGAGAGACAGAGAGACAGACAGAGAGACACAGAGAGAGAATCCAGGAGTATTTGGAAACTGTTTCTGAATGATGACAGTTTCCATCTGTCAGGTGTGAGGAGTTCTTAGGGGCCCATGGACTTGAGTGTTCACAAAGTTCCTGCTCTTGAGGACTTGTGCTTTTGTAGAGAGAATGGACAGAGCACATGCTCCTAGGTTGAAAATACGGAAAGCGGCAATCTCTTGGATTCTAGAAGCAGGAAAATGTAAAGGAATGAGGAATCTCTGAGCAGAGGCTCAAATTCTGTTTGCAACTTCATTATGAGTAACACAGAAGGATTTTTTTTTGTTCATATCTGTCTCAGTTTTGTGTGTATCATGGGACCAACACATGTGTGATTAGTGAAATAAAAGATAAATTAAAGATTATTTCTTTTGTGCTTTTATAGATTTGCTGCATAGTATTCCTTCCTGTTAGAAGTGCTTGTGACTTTAGCTTTGCTTCATTCATGAATTTAACTGTTTTCTTTTCCCTCACTATACCTTACCAGGTCTGTAGGAGTTCCTGACTATTGGAACTGATACTTATCAGACAGAGAGTAGATAGATTCTAGTACCACTGCTCTATATTTAGATATACTAGGAGAGGCTTGGATATTGGAATAGGATTCTAACTTGTTATAGATTCCCCTAATACAATCCATAAATGACCTGTTGTTCAAAGAGGGTTCTAATTATCTCTTTATTTTTTTTCTGCTCTACTTCAAAACAAATGTCCTTAACACGAAAGTAAATTTGAATTGGTTCAATAAAACAATAGACCTCTGACCTGGCATAAAACAACCTATCTGTGACAAAAATTTGGTAACCTATGCAAATCCCTGCCTCTGGTGTCTTGAGAGCTTGTAAGTATTCTGTGGGGTGGCAAAAGGGAAACTAAGACTAAACTTGTTGGTTATGACTTCTGTCCATCCTGCCCCAGCCAAGCCCAGCAGCCCTGAGACAGGTCTTGCTCTCCCATTGATGGAGACAGCAATCAGTCCCTCCTTAAATGAGCCATAGTAACAGAAGGTTCTCCTGGCATCTAGGGTAGGCTCAATTAGACTGAATGTTACCCCTTCTGTGCGTTCTCTTAGTCCTGATTCTCCCGTAAATTCCCAGAAGAAACTCTAATCCCCACTACTTTGATTTTTAGTACAAGTTTTACTTTTATCTTTTGTTAGATATTTTCTGATGCCTCTGTGACCTGTACTAGTATAACAGCAGACTTTGGACAATTGCCTGTGACTGATCACTGAGATCCTTAAATTCTGTGACAGGACATCAGTCATTAGACACACAGACTGCAATGCCACAGTGATTTTAGCTTTTATCGTGTAAGGCAGAATATTTCACAAGAAAAAGCCCATCCTTCATAGTGTCAGATTGGAACCCTTACTCTAACAATCCTTAGGTAATTTTGTGCAAGGAGCAAAGAGGAGATTTCATGAATTCTGAGTCAAACCCTAATTACTAATTGTGCCAAAGGGTGAGTGTTTGCTGATAGAGATGGCAGTTATACCCCACAGATCACAACCTCAGGCTCACTCAGGGAGACTATTTCCAAAAAGATCGTATGGATTTTCAGTAGCAAATGCCCTGGCCTTTACTGAGAGCAGTTTCCTTTATAGTCTGTATCTTAATTTCTCCAAGTCAAATGTCTTAATAAGATGCTTATTATGCCTTCATTTAGGAAGTCTCATGGGAGAATTAGATATCTCTACAATGGAAGGCGCTAAATGAGTGAACTTAGATGTACAAGAAGATATTTTCCATTTCTCTCCAGCACAGCCTCTTCTTTCTTCTGCCTTATTTCTTCCTTTACCTTTTCTTTCATAGATTCTTGGTGACAAAGACCTATTAGAAGTTGATGGCTCGAGGGTCCTTTTGTGTTTTCATTAGTATGTAAACTATTCTGGCCTGGAGATTAGCTCATTTGAAAACATCTTCTTGCAAGTTGAAGAACTTTGCCATCAATCCTGATCACTACAAATAAATAAACAAACTTTCCTGAACATCTTAACTTGTGTCTTGGCTCTGTGTCTCATATTTTGGCAGTACAACAGATTGAATATTTGAAGCATAGGCCAAAAACAAATAACAGATCAGCTGGCTAACATTATCAATGGTGGCCTTATTTATTTAAACATCTAGGGCTTCCTTAGATCAAATCTGTCTTTATTTCTGTGGCATTTAAAAAATTAAACATTGGGTGATGCATAGGGAGTCTTTCGGAAAAATGAGAGGAAAGAGAAAAGGACCTGGAGGTCACAGGAGCTCCACAAGAAGACCAACAGAGCCAACTAACCTGGGCCCAGAGGGGCGTGCTGAGACTGAAGCACCAACCAAGGACCATGCACAAATTTGATCTAGACCTGCTATAAAGGTGTAGCAGATGGGCAGCTTAGGCTTCATGTGGGTTCTCTAGTAAGGATGGTTGGGACTGCATTAGAAAAGAACTCACTTGCAACAAAGTATTGCCTTTAGAAAAATTTGTAACAGCATCAAAAAAAAATAAAATAAATAAAATCAAAAGGCCTTCATGGAAAGGAGGTATCCTGCTTTCCTAGCATGCCAACTCCCATTACTTCAAGTTCGTGGTACAGGAACACTGAGAACACTGGGGTGTTGGAAAGGATTTTTTTTTTTCAAATACCACTGATCTTATATCACATTCATGAATCTGTTTTTGTAAAAGTATTAATCTCACATTGATGTCACACTGTGATTTTTTTTTTTTTTAATCTTGAGCAGGCCCTATTAGAAACCTGTGTAAGATCTGAATTCTGTTGTCTTTCTATGTGTGTACTTCTCTGTTCCACGGGCGGCAATACGCAATATATTGAGCCTTTTCAATGTCTCCTTCCTGTCACCTCTGTGCCATCAGTTCAGGGTTATAACACGTCAGCTACTCTTTCCTATTCCTAGAACCTCCCATAATGTGAATGCTGAGGTCAACCATGCAGAGAACTTGACACTCAAAAACAATATCCTTCACTGTCTTGTGTTGCAGAGTTCAATATTTTGTTTTTAGATGCTACATTATAGTTTTTCTGTAAGCACATTGTCAGAGAGGAAAGAAAATTTTATTATGTCACTGTACTTAATTTTTTCTAGACCCTTCTATTGTTTGTACTATAATATAATGTTTTTATTTTTCTTAAGAATTCCAAAGGACTTCTCTCCTTTCAGTCCAGCCCAGTGTGCAATGGTGTCTGTATGCCCCAAGGGCAAAAGCAGAATGAAAATGTGTTGGCTATCCAACACAAAAGGCAGTTTTCACAATATTGAAAATACCACAGCTGACTTTTGAAGTTGAGGCTAACAGCAACAGAGCTTCATCTGCCCTCCTGGGATCGTTTCCGTTTCTGTGTTTATTGTCCTCATAGTAGTGAGCATGCTCCCTTTCTTTCATGTTAAAATAGAGCAATACGCTTAAGGTATCATTTCCTTTCAAAAAGCTTTATGTCTGTTGGCAAAATGTGTGTTTGTGTCTCTCTCGCCTGTACTCTTTGCCCCTGTGAATGAAAGCTCCTAAACAGAAAGCACCTGCCATTAAAACTTCTGCAAGACTGAACAGCTAATTAGAATTTCAGTGACTGTGGAAGGGTTAGGATGTTGCAGGTCCAGAGTCCAATTATAATTTGTTTTGGGCTGTTGATGGCCTCTGTATTAGCCATTCCTTGGCCACCTCTGATTCTAATCTAATATACTTATGACTACCAAATAAAAATTTAAAATGTATTACCAGACCACCACCAACACCTGCCAAACAAAAGCCCAAGATGTTACCAGTAGCACTGGGGACTAAGATGCCCCCAATATTCTGTTACCCACCTGCCTAATGTGTTGAGCATGAATTTAAGCCCCAGACAAATGTCTTTGAAAGGTGTCTTTATTTACTCTTTTCTTCGTTGTGTTGCTGTAGAAGCTTCATTAAGTTATCGCGCCATCGAAACATGGAGTTTGGAATAACCAAGTCTGTTCTGGTCCACAGTCACTCACATTGGCTCCAAAAACACACCATTTTACTGGCTTTGAAGTGAGAACTGTGTTTACACACAATCATCTCGTTTCTCTTCAGATGACTCTTCTTTAAATGGTCTTCCTTAAAATTAGGGGAAAACATGTTTTTCTCTTGAAGACTCCCAAAGGCAAGCCAAGGAAATGAAGTTTCTATTCTATCCTAGGGGCCATGTATACATTCAGATACATATTGTTATCCCAAGTCTTGCAGACCCAAAGACCACCAAGGAGCTGATTCCAATGCAAACACAGTAGGGTCTTTATTACACGCTCAAGCTCAGGCCCACACCCTCACCGACAGAGCAGTTCTCCAGTGTAGAGCCCTGAGCTCAGGGAGTGGGGCTTTTTATTTAGGGTTACATCCAGGTTCAGGAAATTCCAGCTAGGCAGTTCTAGGACTGATTGACATTTAGCAGATATCGGGGGTCTGGAGGCGATTGTCTGCCCGGAGGGCCAAACCATAATTGTTTTACTCATCCTATTGTAAAGAACACACCTGGGTAAACTTCAGGTATTCACTGATTAGCCATTGCTAGGGGTGATGGCTAACTATCACCAGATGTGATGGTCGAAGCACATTTATTTTTTTTTATGTGTGGATTTTTCTCCCTTTTGAAACTGGAGTTTATGCCTAGGTCATTTGCCCTTAAGACAGAGTTTCTTTTTCAGAAATGAGGTTACACAGGCCTCACAGTATTATCACTTAACTTTCCTACCAATTCTTTGAGGAAGGGTACAACTGGCCCTGGGTGGGCTAAGTTCAGGCTGTCTCTAGATGACTAAGGTTGGCCAGCAAGCAGGCAACTCTGGCCAGACCACACTTTGGGCGGGCTGCACCCAGACACCGGCTGCTGGAGGCCTTAGTTACCATCACAATCTCATCTGTAGTCTCACAGATCTACATTTATTTTTCTCTTTTGAATTTTTAACTAAGATTAGTTGCCTGCTGCTCTATTCGTGTTGTGAACTCAAGGGAAGGTTTGTCTGCCTAGCCTCTAGCATTCCTTGTAGGGGAAGACATAGAGCCACAAAGAATAAAAGCAAGAGAGAGACTGAGAAAGCTTCAGCTAAGGAGGCTTTTGTCCAAGGTCCAGGGCCTAACACTGTCACAGTGAAGTCACCAGGAAATATACACCAAACACAAACTGTGCCCTTATTTCATCCTTCTAGAGGTATTAATGCTTCATTTTCACTTCAGTACAGTAAAAGAAGGAAGCTAGCTGGGCTATACCTAGCACACACCTTTAATCTCAGCACTCTGAAGACAGAGCAGGCTCTGTCTTGAACTCTGTAAGTTCAAGGGCAACCTGCTCTACCTAGTGAGGTCCACGGCAGCCAGAGCTACACAACATTTCATATAAACAAAATAAAAATACAGATGATTTTAATGAACAGCAACACATTTATATAAAAATATGCCACACACAACTGGTAAAAGGCTTTGATGGTTTTTTTTGTTTTGTTTTGGTTTGGTTTTTGGTAACTTGACTGTAGACATTTCTAAAGGGGGGAAAGAGATCAGCATGCATCTAAAAGTGATAGTGTCTTCTACTGTGACTCATAGAGATAATCTCTCTATATCTCTCACCACTGCAGCATGCAAAGTGAGCCCTGTCTTAAGAATTAACTCCGCTACTCACTCCCTCTGCCTTTTCTTCCCTCCCACATTCACTCCTTCCTTGTCTTTTTCCACTTTCTTAGCCCCCTCTCTTTCTCCTCCTGCTCCTTCGTCTCTCACATTCTTTCTTGTCTCTCATCTGATGCTAAGATGATAATTTTCTTCTTTGGTACCATTTTTGAAATCTTTAAATATATCACTTCTCAGTCTTTTGGCTGAGATCAAATGTTTAATTACTGAAATAAAACTTTTTGTTTGTTTGTTTGTTTGTTTGTTTTCTGAGACAGGTTTTCTCTGTGTAGCCCTGGTTGTCCTTGACCTTCCTCTGTAGACCAGGCTGACCTATAACTCAGAGTTCTACGTGGCAGAGATCTGCCTGTCTCTGCTTCCCTGAGTGCTGTGATTAAAGGCATGTGCTAGTAGTTCCTAGTCACTTCCAGACCTTTCCCATTCTAATCTTACCCAAGCCAGCATCTCTGACTGATAGTAATCCTGCCATCTATGTACCTTAAATATCTCCACCGTTAGACCTCACCATCATCCAAGCAGCAGATACTACATATCTTAATTTCTTTGAAATATGGGTTTTTAAGTCATTTCATACAAGTCATTTTTCTTTTAAATTTGATCCTGCATGTTTTCATACAATAGAAGTTAATTTAAGAATTCTAAGCCCTTAATACTAAAACTAAACTTCCTTACATAACTTTTACATATTCTTACATCATCATAGGTATGAACTATATTATACTGTATTTATTTAATCCAAGAAATTATTTTAATATTCTTCTTAGTTATATATTTAAATCAGCCTCCATCTTATTCTTCAAACCATCATTCCTTTAACATTACGTGAGCAGTTAAGTATGACCTGTTCAAATCACTACCCATCGTGGATTACAACAGAAATTAACATCGCAGCCTAAATATAAGATACTTTGCTCTGCTGTGGTAACTTTCAAGATCTTCAACTGTAATGAACCCTTAAGAACTTGTATTTTTTTATTTTTATTTTTAATATTAGTTACAGTTTGTTAACTTTGTATCCCTGCTGTAGCCCACTCCCTCTTTCCCTCCCAACCCCACCCTCCCACC